TCTCCTTTCTCTCAGGCACAAATAGTATGACCTAAACCGGAAACATAAACAGTGACGTTTGTCTTGACCCGATAGTACAATGACCTGCTGTCCTGGCCGAAATTTGAAAGATATGTGTGGTGGCATTTTCCCAGGACCATTCAGACTACGCGCTGATGAAGCCATTAATTGTAAAATATATTTGTGTGTGTGTGTGTGTGGGTGGGGGGGGGGGAGGGAATTTGCACATCGAAATTCAGAGTTTATCAGATAAATCCGAATAGACGAAACTTTTATCGGCGGGTGTCTTCGAATTTATCCGAAAACACAAAACCCTAGTTAGAGTCACATTCTCCCCCCCCCCCCCCCCACACACACACACGCCACTCCAAACACCCTCGAAAATACTGAACTTTCAGTTAAGATTGAATACGAAAAAATGAATTCGGCGTACTTTTACCGGTTATATTCAGGCTAACCCGAAAACGCTGAACCCTAAATATAGCATTTGAAGTTAAAAAATGCACGTCGCAAATAAAGCACTGTAAAGGAACTGAGGTTCTAGGTCAATTTGTCGAAAGCCAACTCGTCGACGGCCAATTTTTCGAATCTGTTCTTTTGGAAGCAAGTTCGGACTGGAGAGTATACTCGATGGGCGCATGACGGTTCCCTGGGCAGTACCGAAGCCCCCGCTGGTGCGTTTTCTGACTATTTTGTAGCGCGACCTTCACTGGCCGAGGTTGAGCAGTTTCGCTGGCTCGCCTAATGAGCCGTGCTCCGTGCTGCGCATGCGCGAGGAGCAGGGACGTCACATGGTGCACAGCTGGCACGCCGGAGCCGACGCCGCCGCGCGCTCCGCCGCCGCCGCGCCCGCCTCGCCGGTCTGTGCATTCCAGAGGAGTGACGTCACAGCCGCGGCAGACGCACTGGCGTCACCGCGTGCCCAGCTGTGCGCTACGTTGCGCAGTAGGCAAGTCTGACGCTGCACCGCAGCCACTTGATAGCGCCTCGCATTTTGTGCGCATAAGCTCACGCTGCGCATATCCTGGCATAGCCGAGCTAAGCCACCGCAATTTTTTCGAACAGTTTTGCTCATTTTGACGCGCAAGTTTGCTGGTGATATCGTCGACAATAAATAATTCAATAGCACGGCAATGTACTGTCGTTAGTTATTAAAAGAAAAATAAAAGAAAGCGTGTGCAGCAACGGTGTGTTCAACCCATGCTGCAGTGTAAGGCCACAGCATTGAGGCTGCGGCATGTTACTGCTTCACCGGTTTCCACTCGATCAAGGCCCTTCGTCGGCAATAATCTGTGAATTTAACTCAAAACGTACAACTTCTCGCCTGCAAGCTCTGGCCGCGTGCTTCCATGAGATTTTATTCACGGCGAATGAACCTTGCAGAATCGGTGCCCACGGTACACCTTGAATACGCTCCACATTAAAGTCATCTTATCTTACCGGTTCTATCAATGCATCTGTAATCAACGCATCTCCCGGTTAGTTTTTTTTTTTTTTTTTTTTTGGAGGGGGGGGGGGGGCGGTTTACGCTTAGTTGGTAATTACGAAACGGCGAGTACTACGGAACCTCACCCGACCGCCACAAACCAGGCAGTTCATAACTTTAACCTATAGATATCTTTTTCCCAATAACTCTTTCTCTTTCCCTGATACTTCAAAAAAGACCAGACAACGCAGCAAACATCGACGCGCAGGTATCCCCTCTGGCTACCCAATCTCTTCAGAGATTAGCGTGGTTACTGCTAACTTTATTGGTTTTTAGCAATCACTCGGCAGCAGCACTCGGGACACTGACTTCAGTGCGGTCCCGTCGCCGCCAGCGTACATTTTTCGTAATGGTTCTCCACTAGCTCTTAAATAATGCCATGCAATGTCCAACCCTTTTTCCTCATGTTCTGTTTTGTTTTCATAGAACGCTACCTATTACAGCCTTTTTACATGCGTGCTGTTTTGTCGCTGTGCTGTTTTGACGCCGTGCTGTTTTGGCACGTGCTCTACTGTCGCTGTGCCGTTTTGACGCCTTGCTGTTTTGTCGCGTGCTGTTTTGACGCGTGCTGTTTTGTCGCCGTGCTGTTTTGACGCTGTGCTGTTTTGACGCGTGCTGTTTTGACCGTGCTGTTTTGTCGCGTGCCGTTTTGTCGTGTGCTGTTCTGTCGCGTTCCCTTCCGCGTCGTCCGGTTAAAATATGACGCACTGATATTTAGTTACTCCCTCCGTGCCCGCTGGGTTGCCCGAACCCCAACAGATGCGGAAACCGCAAAAAAAGGTAGACGACTAAATATGATTGCAGGGCCCCTTTAAGGGCAGCCGTTCAATTTTCAATAAAGCATTACTTTACATTTTCAAGTGAATTCCAGTTTTCGGTTGCCCAAGAGAAAGATAAATTAGCATGTGTTTCATTTGTGCATGGAAGTGAAGTCATGCTTGTTATTTTCCGGTACTAAACATATATCTGCATATTTTAAATATAATATTAATCATAATGAGCAGAATATTAATAATAAAATTAATAATTATGATTAGTAATATTTGAAATTACTTTGTTCAAATTTGTATTGCTTGATCAATCCGTTGTGATAGATCGGGGACTATTCGATGAATGGAAATGCGACATATATTTCACCGCTAATAATAAACTTTCTATAGAAGAGCATTCTTAAGAATTTTCTAGTTGCCCTCGATTCTAACTTATGAATGTTGGCTTTGTGACGACCTGCTGCTGAGCCGGTTCGTTTGAAATGCTTCGTTGAATACCAGCTGAACGTAGAGGAAAAGCGAAGGAGAGGAGAAATGAAAGAACCGCACTTCTGGACTATCAACTTTTTAATAAAAACTTCCTTTTCCTTGACACTATCCATAGAGGTACCTCCTTCTTCATCTGTCGGATCTTGGACAGAAAACCTCCCATTTCCTCGACACTAACTGTAGAGTTAACCTCGTCTTCAGCTGTTGGATATTCGAAAAACTTTCTTTTTCTCGACACTTTCCGTCGAGGTAACCTCTTCTTCCTCTGTAGCATCTTGGCATTCAAATGGTCCCAACTTGGTTACTCCGAGGGCCAGCTCCCCGCAGATAATTTTTTTTTTTCTTTAGGAAAGAGCGCAACGGAGGCGGCACTTACACCTTCTCCACCACTCTCCTCAATGACCAGCGACTCGAGGACCTCCCTTCCAAGCTGTTTTCAGTGTCGTGCGACGACAGTGACGTTTGAGAAGTCGGGAGCTCATTTACATTCCCGACAAGGCACCGATGTCGTGCGCTCAGCCCCCAACAAGCGTACGCCATGTGCCGTAGGGTGAACCGGGAGACCGACCAGAACGTGAGGACACCCTGCGGCACTGCGCATTGAGCACCTTCCGCCCCATGCGAGAAATGAGTCGTCCACAATGTCCCTATGTGATCTGGCAAATGCTACGTAGGGCAAACGGGGAAGTGTAAAAAAGACCGTACCAGAGAACATGCAGCCTCTGTGGCCGCACTAACTTCGGCTGGCTACCTTTCGGCGCATTGTCTGAAATGCAAATGTGCTCCCGACTTCTCAAACGTCACCGTCGTCGCAAGACAGCGAAAACAGCTTGGGAGGGAGATTCCCGGGTCGCTGGCCATTGAGGAGAGTGGCGGATAATGCGTAAGTGCCGCCTCCGTTGCGCTTTTTCCTGAAGAAAAAAGCTCGAGGTACACCTAAGCACTTCTTATGAATTGTGAATGCGAAAGCATGCAAGCCGCTCGTCCGCTCCCTTTTTCGTGTGGATACCTGAGGCGGCGCCATTTCGTCAGTGTCCAGGCGAGCAGAAGCAGCGCCAACGATGTGGATGCTGGAGGCGGCGGCATACTCGTCGGCGACGAGACGAGCAGAAGCCGCCGAGCGCGTGCCAACGTGTCGGCGGTCGGTGAAACCAAGTTAGTCCTGGGTGAAACTGACGCGCAGCGTCAGTTTAAACGACCGGCCACCCCATGGCGCTGCATGTCCGGCCATTGAGAGCTTCATCGACATGCGCCGGCCAATGGGACCGAAGTGTAAAGGGTGCCGTTGGCTGGCTTTGCGCGTGGTTTCATAGCTGGGAGCTGGCAAGAAAGATTTAAGAGCCATTTGGCGCGGTTTCAAAGCTGATGACGTCGGCTCGCTTCATGAGACAGTTAATGCTTTCGCATTGAAAGATATCTGCGGGGAGCGGCCCCTCGGACTATACTCTGTTTCACCTTATGTTGTACCGCAGCAAAGGCTAAAAGCGCGAGCTCATAGCGTTGGCAGCTGCTCTTAGGTCACGAGAGCTTTTGCCGCCGAGATGTGCCCCAGAGCAAGGAGCTCGCGCTTGTAGTCTTTCCTGCGGTACATCATAAGGTGAAACAGAGTATAACCAAGTAGGGATCATTTGAATGCCAAGATCCGACAGAGGAAGAAGAGGTTACCTCTACGGAAAGTGTCAAGAAAAAGGAAGTTTTTCTAATATCCAACAGCTGAAGAAGAGGTTAACTCTACGGTTAGTGTTGAGGAAAAGGAGGTTTTTCTATCTAAGATCCGACAGATTGTGGGGATCGAAAAGAAGAAGAATAAAGATGCCTCGTGAGGCAGATCGAACTAGCTCGCGCTCAGGACGAGCGCGGGGTAGAACGGGCGTAGACACCAGTGAAGCGGCTGTCTTTTCTTCAGTCTCCACATTGGCGCCACAGCGTGGGGCTCGAACCCAGATTCCCGTACAGTCAGGTACGTTTAGCAGGCCTTCGCAGTCGCTGCGCCTATACAGACATTGGATTACTTCACCGCCGAGCTTGTTATAGTGACCGTTAAAATGTCAACTTCGCCCCCGCTTACGCGATCCCGTAGCCGCCCCAATGCAGCGAACACAGCTCGTGCTACCGCGACTGGTGATGGAGCGGAGGACTTGCGACCGGGCTCTGATATACCCACAGCAGACTTGGAGGTTCCATTGCCCGCTGAGAGCCTTTCCCCACCGGTGCCGCTTGCACCTCTCACCGCGTTGGGCCCATTGCCAGAACAAATGGCATTGTTCCTGGCGGAGATGTCGCGGCTCCTGCAGGAACAACGCCGTCCGCTACCACCCTTAGTTCCAACACCTCGGACGGGGACATTGCGTTTACATGCCGAGATTCCGAAATATTCAGGCTACGCAGATAGAAAATCGGTTGCTGATTTTCTTGACGAATTGCGTGAATACCAGGCGGTGTCTGAAATGTCTGAGGTTGAACTTCTATCACGCGTACTGCCGATCGCCCTCACGGGAAGCGCCGCGACATGGCGTCGGAGACAATCACCCTTCTCGACGCTACAAGACTTTTCGGAGCAGTTCAAAAATGAATTTCTGCCTCCCGATTACGGCGCGCGAATGCTCGATGAGCTTAGGGCGCGCACTCAGCACCGCGACGAGTCCCTAGTCGAGTTTGTTCGGGCGCTCCAAACTCTCTATGACAGGGCTGACCCTAGTGCGTCCGACTCAGACAAAGTGTCGCGGGCTATCCGGCAAAGCCACCCGCAGTTTCATCCCTACCTGCGTGGGCGGGTGTTCCGGAGTTTGGACGAGTTGGCCCAAGCAGCCCACCAGATCCAGGCGGACATCCTGGCCGAACTAAGATATCGGCCTCCTCCACCGCCGGAGGCTTGCCTGGAACCGTCCTGCGCTTGGACAGGCACGACCAGGCAATCCATGGACGAGCATGGGTCACGGCCAGTTCTCCCCGGAAGGGTACCCCGAGCGCTGGACCCTTACACCCACGGACTGGGCGATGGTGCTCAAGTCCGCGAGCATGGCCGCCAATACCAAGCCCCATCCAGAGAGCGATACCCAAGGGCCACCTCAGCTACTCTCCGCTGCTTCCGGTGCGGAAGTCTCGGCCACTTTCGCCGGGACTGCACCCGGCGGGTTTCAAACGACAATTCGGGAAACGAGGTAGGCCGCCGATAGCAGGGCCCTGTCTGTCGGTGGCTTCTCCTTGTTACAGGCCCTCGGTCACCCCACCGTCTCGGTTCTTCAGCAGTCTCGGCCCAGCCTCACGAGCAGCCCCGCCGGGGGCCTCCTGTGATGAGCCCGATGCTGCAGCACCTGGTGTGCCGCCCGCTCGAGCGCCCGATGACGCTCCCGCTCCCGGATTACGCGGCGACGCTCTCGCAGGCGCTCGCGGAGATGCCCCAGGTCCCGGCGTGGCGCCCGCTCGAGCGCCCGATGACGCTCCCGCTCACGGATTATGCGGTGACGCTCTCGGCGGCGCTCGCGGAGATGCCTCCGGTAGTACCAGCGCCGGTGCTTTCCCCGAGGCTTCCCACGGAGCGGTTCTCGGTGGCGTCCTGGTCCCCGACGAGACAACTCCGGAGAACAGACGTGACGACAACGGCTGCTCGCAGGAAGTGGCAGCGGCGTGGCCGCCCGTCGTCCACCCACATGCCAGAAAAATGGCTGATGCGACCACACCAGCGCGGCCTTCTGGAAAACCCGTAGACAAGTGTATGGCCCGTGCGGTCCAACCGGAACCCCGTGCCCACTACCGAACGGTGACCTGGGCGGGTCTACGAGACGTGACAATCCTCAGCATTTCATTGATCATGGGAATCCTAGCGACCATGGTATCATGGGTGAGTCGGCTGAAAGTCTATGACAAGCTACTTCGAATTTATAGGTTCCGTCCAGTCACGTACTTTATACCATCCCTTGACGCTATGCGTCACGAAAGTAGAGGTATAACAGAACCCTACATTGTGGTTAACATTGCCGGTCAACAGATCGCAGCTCTCTTGGATACCGGAGCTGCAATTTCACTTTTTGGAGACTTCGTTAGAAAATTGTGCAAAGACCGGAACATCTCAATGCGGCGTTCTCAGAGAGAGCTCCGTACGGCATCTGACCAACTTATCTCCGTCACTGAAGGAGCTCGACTGAAGCTGAGCTTTGATGGGCGACAATGTCGACAACATTTCACATATCTGCCGGGTCTCGCCTGCCCTATTCTTCTCGGTCGAGATTTCATCTCCAGGGAAAAAATAGTCCTAGATTTGTCAGCAGAAGAATATCGATATGGCTCGCAGTCCGCTACTTTCAAGTTTGCAGTCAGACCAATGCCTACGGCAGCTCGTCCTCTAGAGGGTACAATATGTGAGAGATTCCCCTCCTCGGGGTATCTGCACGTGGCAATGAAGTCATTTTCTGGCACCGACTCGGACCGTTCACGTATAGCGAAGCTTTTGGAGAATTTCTCACATATGTTTACAGAAACACCTGGGAGAACTAACATCCTCGAACACCGAATTGATACTGGAGACACTCCGCCTATCCGATTTAACGCGCGGCCCCTAAGTGTTCACAAACGCACACTCCTGGACGGAGCACTGAATGAGATGATTCGGACCGGAGCCGTCCGTCCCTCGAAAAGTCCATGGGCTTTTCCGGTTGTGTTAGCACCCAAGAAGGATGGCACCGCACGCCTCTGCGTAGATTACCGTCCTCTGAACGCGGTCACGAAGCGAGATGCATACCCCTTTCCATCAGTCTCGTCTGTTTTATATGCACTGGGGTCTGCACGGATATTCACAACCCTCGACTGTAGTAGGGGATTTTTGCAAATTCCCGTAGCAACAGATGACGCCCCTAAAACAGCATTTGTTTGCCCCAGGGGTCTGTTCGAATTTGTCTGACTCCCCTTCGGCCTATCTAACTCCCCTGCGAGCTTCCAGAGGCTCATGGATACAGTCTTGGGTGATGCAAAGTTTAACTATGCAATGGCCTACATGGACGACGTAGTAGTGTTTTCTAGTACTATCGAGGACCACCTTCACCATTTACAGGTCGTCCTGAAGCGCATGAGTGAAGCTGGTCTCACGATTAACCCTTCAAAAGTGCAACTTGCATCACCCAAAGTGGAGCTTCTTGGCTTCGTGGTCGACCAAGGATCGCTCCAGCCGCAAGCAGAGAAGCTCAGAGCAATTATAGAATTTCCCCAGCCACGAGACAAAAAAAGTTTACAACGGTACCTTGGCATGGTGGGATTCTACCGCGAGTTTATTGCCAACTGCGCTGATTTGGCCCGGCCCCTTCACCAGCTATTACGCCGGGAAGTTCCATGGACCTGGACTTCCGCGCAGGAACAAGCGTTTAAAGCGTTAGCAAATGCTATTGCGGATACTGCATCTCTGAGACTTCCTAATCTCAATGCTCCATTCGTCCTCCAAACGGATGCCAGTGATTACGGTATAGGTGCAGTATTACTCCAAGAACATAACGCAGCGTTGCGGCCCGTTGCATTCGCGAGTCATACTCTCACCGCGGCCGAATGTAACTATACGGTAACCGAAAAAGAATGTCTAGCTATAATATTCGCTTTGCGAAAGTTTGACATGTACCTAGATGGAGCGACCTTCACCATCCAGACTGACCATCAAGCATTAACATGGCTGAAAAACCTTAAACACCCCGCTGGACGCCTTGCCCGCTGGGCTCTGGCTTTACAGAAATATGATTTTTCCATTGAATACAAACCGGGAAGGTTCAATGTCGCAGCAGATGCCCTGTCACGAGCACCCCTACCCCCCCGAAAAGCGGATGACACAGCGGAACTCGTCGCTGTTGCTGACGCTGAAGTCTCCTGGGGTCTTTCTGTGAGCCGGGACGAGCTACGAGAAGCCCAGCAAAAAGACGACATGTGCCAAAAGGTATCTCGGTGCTTGACTCAGCCCCATCAAACCGATGGAAACAGGACGTATGGGTCGGTAGACGCATATGTACACAGCGAGGATGGACTCCTCCTTCGCTACATACCGCAGGCAGACGAAGCCGACCCCACAACGTCCCCTTTTCGTGTGGTCGTACCCCGTACATTAAGGCAAACTTTCCTCCGGTATTTTCATGACAGTGCGCTAGCGGGCCACAGTGACGGTCAGAAAACCTACCAGAAACTGTGTCGCGTTGCCACTTGGCCGAGGATGCGCCAGGATGTTCTCCGCTACACACGCAGTTGCCTACGTTGCCAACAAGCCAAACCCAGGGGAGGTAAACCCCCTGGTTTGATGCAGTCAGTGGAAAGTCGTTATCCATGGGAGATTGTTTCATGTGACATAATGGGCCCCTTTCCACGCAGCCCCAAAGGAAACAGGTATCTCCTGGTAGTCACCGACCACTTCTCAAAGTGGGTGGAGCTTCACCCTCTCCGCCAACTGAGTTCCAGGACCATTTGGGACAAATTGAGGGACACCTTCACCCGCTTCGGGTTCTGTTCCCAATTAATTTCCGACAACGCATCCTACTTCACAAGTAAGGTTTTTGAGGACTGTTGCGCAACACTGGGCATCCAGCACAAGTGCACCACTCCTTACCACCCTCAAGCCAACATAGCTGAGAGGGTCAACCGGAACCTCAAAGCAATGCTAGTGGTATACACCGAGAGACATAAAGACTGGGACAATTACATCCCGGAAATGGCTTTCGCCACTCGAACTACGGAGAACCGTACGACAGGGTTCACACCTTCCCAAATAAACTTCGGACGCGAGCTGCGATTTCCCCTCGAGAACAGCTTTTCCGACGATAATCGAAGACCAAATACCTCGTACGCGAGATTCGCTGAACAACTTCGTGATAAAATCACCGACGCTGTGCGAGTGGCTCGACAAAATATTGAGTTAGCGCAGCTCGATCAGAGGAACCAATATGACCAGGGCAGGAGATCCCTAGAATTTTCAATAGGCGACTGCGTTCTCCGGCGCGTGCACCCGCTTAGTAATGCAGCAAAGGGATTCGCGGCATCACTAGCTCCTCGTTGGGAAGGTCCCTTGGAAGTTGTTTCACGGGTATCACATTTGGTGTATAGGTTACGACATGTCGAAGACGGGTCGTTAACTGGACCCGTTAACATTTGTGATCTGAAGCCGTTTGTTTCTAGACATGTCACCCTTTAGGGATGTCCTAAGAAACACAGTCCCCCGTCAATTTTTGCCACACGAAAGATTGTTGCTCATGGTTATTCTCTATCCAGGCATGCCACCTCGACGCAGCAACACCCATTCCTTCCGACGCTCTCGGAGCCGCTCCCGATCCCCCCTACGCCCCCAATTCAACCCACGGGGCCACTCGCGCCGCGCCAGGCGACATAACCGCCGTCAGCAACCGCCACGCACTGCCGAGGCTGCCACCTGGTGCGTGATGGAGGATGGTCGAATGGTCACATTCGCGTCCTGGATGGCCTGGGAACACCAACCTCAAGTGCCACAAGGGACTGCACCAGAAGACGTTCCCCATCCCTTCCGGCGACGGACACTGACGGAGCGCTGTGCTGCAGATATACCCGCCGCCTACGACGAGGAAGAATATGCAGACATCTGTGAACTTTGCCGCGTCCCACTCATTTCATGCGAACAACATCATCAAGGAGCACTTCACCACGACCGAGAAGACCGCCGGCGGGCGCTGGTGCGAGCTGGATCACGGGCCCTTACACCTGCCGACATCGAGGCCGCCCTCCTTATTGTTGGCCGTGCCTGCCCCGAATGCCTGCGCCGAACACTACCCTTACCACCAGAACTGGCGAACATCAGACTCAGCGACGACGAAATGGAACCAACTGATTAGGAAACTCCCTCCCCCCCCCCCCCCCCCCCCCCAAGAGGGGGATGATGTGGGGATCGAAAAGAAGAAGAATAAAGATGCCTCGTGAGGCAGATCGAACTAGCTCGCGCTCAGGACGAGCGCGGGGTAGAACGGGCGTAGACACCAGTGAAGCGGCTGTCTTTTCTTCAGTCTCCACAAGATGAAGAAGACGATACTCCAACGAATAGTGTCGAGGAAAAGGAAGTTTTTATTAAAAGGTCGATGGTCCAGCAGTGTAGTTCCTTGTTTTCTCATCTCCTTCCCTTTTCCTCTACCTTCATCTGGTATTCAAAAAAATAATGTTGTTGTTGTAAGCGTCAAAGTGGAATTTGGGGGAAAATTGGAGTCAATCGTGTACGCACACTAGTTTGGAGAGGCCGTAGAACAATTTTTACGTTGAAAGAGTTTGCCGCTTGCAATATGTATATTGTTTATCACAATACAGTTGAAAGAAAACGCTGAACTTTTCCCCGATATACTCCTATTCTGCTGCGCAATAGCAAAGGCAATTGAACTTATTATTTTCTGAGATTCGGCCGCGTGTGGCGGGCACGAAAGCCACGCCGTCGCGTAATGGCTAGTACAGATGTTTTTGTGGCGCAATCTAGCTAATGTCAACAAAATCATTCTCTCTCCGCTGCTGTCGTCTTCGTCGATCACATGGCACCCATCGTTTGTGTCGATTGCTTGCCGCGATTTTCGGCTATGCTAAACGGTTGCATGCTCTGTGCAGCCTGTTTAGATCTTCAAAAGTCGGCAATCACGGAGGAACGCTTGGAGCATTCAATACAAAATCCAACGGGAAAGCACGTAGTACTTACTCCCTTTGGCGTCACTCGAAAGAAAGTGTGAGAGTTTAAGGGTACTCTGATCTTCTATCTGTTTAATTCTGAAGGCATTATCATCAGTGCCTTGTTACATGCGTTGAGCTTGGTCTGGTTTGAAGTCCTTGGACTAACCAACATTCGCAGCGTCGCCACGGGATCCCGCCACAATCGCACTGGCTGTGGAAACTGACTGAGAAATACCTTCTGCAGGCACCGACAGATGGCGTGCGGGGTGCGGGTGCGCGCTTTGGACGCCCTGGAGACTCCTGCCACCGGCTTTGGAGTCTTGTGGACGCCGACGGGCTGCGGTTCCGTTCTTAGACCTGCCACGCCTGTCACTCCAATCTTGACGCTCAGTCCGCTTACCATGTCACTGGACCGTAAGTGCACGGTGTCGTCGCCCCAGTATGCACAAGTTGTGGAGCAGACATTGGAACTTCAGTCGCCATTTTTGTGTAAGGCACTTGTGGAGGCCACGTTCCTTGCTATCGCCTCTTAACCCCCCCCCCCCCTCTTACCCCCCAAGGGGGGAGGAGGGAGGGGGGTGTGCCATTCTATTGACAGTCGGCGATTGACCGTCTGGGCATCTAATGAAAGGCAACATCACCCGGCGCCGTGTTCACGGCGTGACACCTGGGCAAGAGGTTAAGCCAGTCTCTTCCTTCTTGTAGTGTACTTGATATACGCCTCCTTAATGAAGACCGTTTGGGAGATCAGCCGGAATATCGCTCGGCTTCGGAAGCCCTCCATTCTTCGGTACAGAATCGATGACGGCGGCATGTTCAAGTACGTCCGTTGGTGCAAGTTGGTGGTGTGTGCGTGGGAAAGAAACCTGGGTGGGACACGGCCTCTGGGAATGGACGCTTGCCTACCATTGGCTGTGGAGATTACTGCAGGGACTCCCTACTGTGGAAGTGGGGCCAGGTGACCGTTAAACAGGAGCAGCAGGCGTGTACGAGAGTGTGCTCTCGGATGATGTAAATACTACTGTACATAAGTATTAAACAGAGTTTATCGTAAGGCTCCCTCCCGCTTCCTGATGTTCCTGCCAGGAGTCGTCCTTCGGTTCCCCTCGTGGCCTGTCCCTGCCTGATACTGCCTGGAGAACTCCTCGGTCGCAACATCTGGTTGGCATTAGTGGGATGACGTGCCTGATCTTGGTTCCTGGTACGGGTGAGTGCTTTTCAGTCTTCCCTCGATTTGCCAGACTTGTTGCTCAGTGTTAGGTTCACGAGTGGAAAGAGACCGTTTGACATGATAAAAGTAAAGTTAAAGTTGACTGAGTTAGATAGAGGATGGAGGTCGCGACACTCGGGAACAAGGCTGTCAGTAAGCTACGCCTTCCTGAGTTGGTGGCGGTATTGAAGGATTTCGGCATAAGCGTGGGGCAGGCAAAGCGAAGGAAGCCGATCATGGAGCTCCCTCGCGTGGAGGAATAGTCAGATGTAGAGCTTCAGGAAGCTTGGGAGCTCATTCGGGAGTTGGACGAAAGAGCGAAGGCTGAAAATCAAGAGCGGTACGAAAGAGTGAATGAGAAAAAACGAGCCGAGAACCCTGAAGGATGATAACAAAGTAATAAAACAGGGCAATAGGACCATCAACTTTCGAATATAAAGCTACATTGTTTCAATGCCTCATAATAAATTATTTTATGCTTACAGGGGCTGGAGAAGGCTGAAAAGGAAGAGCCGAACGAAAGAGTGAATGCTGATAAGCTGCTGAATGCAAGAGAGGGAGGGAAGAATGAGGGAGAAACATGAAGGGCAGGCTCATGAACTAGAACTTATAAGGTTAGAGGTAGAGCAGGCGAAATCTGAGGGTGTGCGTTCAAATAGATCTGGGACGGATGTTCGGCTACCGGAGAGGGTCAAGATTAAGGACTTAAGGCAGACGTTCCACTTAGAAGACATTGGTCTCTTCCTGTTCACCTTCGAGAGTAGCTGTGAGCCAACAGGTTTCGCACGCAAAGACTGATCCCAGTATTTGTTGACGCCGTTGTCCTATGAGGCGGCTGACGTGGTTGCACGGTTAAGTAAAGAAGAGGCCGAGAGCTATGAAAAATCCGAGGCTACACTTTTAAATAAGTAACGTCTTTCAAAAGAAAGTAGCCTCGCGGAACCGCTGGCGAAACGGCAGCGGTTCCGCACGGCTAGTAAGAAGGGAACGGAGCCCTTTCCTGATTTTGCACTCACCCTTGAGGCTAACCTGGTGGAATGGTTAAAGAGCTAATATGTGTACGTGAATCATGAGAATATGATGTTGTGCATTGCGGTTGTTCTGGAACCAAGATGAGACCCACAAACATGACGTTCTGGGTCCAAGATAGAGGTCTCTATCTTGGACCATATTTAGATGACGGATGCAATTTGTCGTCTCTGGCTGAACGGAGACAATTTGATGAAATCAATAGTTCAGTTTCAACTATATAAAAAAAAAACGGTACGTAGAGGAGTAGCTCAAGGAAGTGTTTTAGGTTCTCAATTATTTCTTTTATTTTCGAATGACATTGAACGCAGCATTATTTTTGAAAGGCCCTATATGTGACGAAATCGAAAAAAGGGCGATACGTATGCTCTGGCAGCTACATAGTTGGACAGAAATAAATAGATTACGTATCACCATAAGCAAAACTAAGTACATGCTGTTCCGAGCGAAAAGCGTAAAAGCCGGAAGAGCAATCGATATAGTGAAGTCATTCAAAATATTAGGTGTCATCTTTTCAGATAATTTATCATGGAATTAGTACATACAATCCATACATTAATAAAAAAAGAAAAGCTGTTATTACTCTGTCTCGATACCGTACAGTTTTCACTCCACTTGTTTTGTTAAAATTTTCTACGGCCTCGTGCAGTCATATTTTGAGTATTTAATTTGAATTTGAAATATAAACAAACTTTTAACACTGCAAAGAAAGCTCTAAGGGTTGTTACAAATGTGTGATATTTTTCTATAAAGATGCTCTTTTTTCCCGATTTAATTTTGTCCGAATAGCGCACCAACATTACTACGGCCTTGTGGTATCGTATAAAACAACACAAAAATAAACATACTTGTTTTTTTGAGAAGTAGCAAATTAAATGAAATACTAGCGTTTAAAACACACAGCGAAGCGAATAGTGGAGTCTACCCACCCCCCGGACAAACTATGGATCGACATCGATTACAAACATACTTTCATCTTTTTTGAACGAGGTGAATCTTAAAACAGATTTCAGCCATTACGTACTTTTTGAAGCTTTAATGATGATCTAATTGTGCATCATTACAAAGGCGGAAGATGTTCATGAGCACAAAAGTAAACATATGAATGAATATGAACGAATGATTATTGACACTGTTGACGTTGTGAACTTCAGGCTTCGTGTTGTATGTGTAGTGTGTCAACTGATGTTATATGTTACATTAAAGTCTTGTGACTTTTTGTTTTGCGCCCTTCTGAGCTTGAAGAATAATATCATTTTAGATTTACTTTCTTAATGAAACCCTGTACGCGCGCTGCTTTCTTGGAGCTGGGGCGTCGTCATAGCTGCTCGTGTTGCAGCGTTTTGTCCTAGCTACCATCTTTCCCGGTGAAATTAAAATAAAATGATTCATTGACTGATTGAATCCCTAGAAGGGGGCAGACCTCGCGGGGGAATACTTTATGCATAGGGGTTTGGACAAAGACAAATCTGGACAAACGCCCTCGTGTCGAGATGGCCAGAAGGAACTTCCGTCGGTGAAGGCT